CGCCTAGCATATACAGTAAACATGTGCCAAATCAGCGCGACAAAAACAGGGAGTCCATCCTCTGGATCCACCTGCGTCTCAGGGAAGCATAGGCCCCTTTGGTCCACGATTAGCCCGCTATCCACCACCTGGAGACGCGCCACGTAGCCTCGCGACGAGCCGGCTCGAGATCCCTCATATGAGGGAGATCCGTGGCTATATTTATGTGTATATATATATATATATATATTTATATATGTAATATTAGTACCCAGTATCGCCTTTGTATTAACCTCGGCACTGGATTATGAATTCTTCGCTTTCTCTCTCAGCAATCGCGAGGTTGTTAAACAACATACGTTTACTTCCATACAATAACGCAGATACAACACAATCCGTAGCTGACGCTTTGGCAGAATCTCCTTCTTCAGAGCCTGGAAGTACTCTAATATGCAACTTACTGGGTCAAACGCCTCAACAGCACAAAAAGAAAGATGGAAACCTGAAAAAGAATTACACGATCACCGGCTTCACATACCCACCGATTTTTTACTTGCCTTCCACCGAAGAAGAACAGCTGCTCAGAGTCGGATATGGATGACGACCACAACAAAAATCGATTCGGTGATACTAGGCTAGTTCATGTGTTATCCCAGGACATACCTCCCTGTTATTCATTCTCGGTTTTTTGACCTTAAAATCAATAAACCAATATGTCCCGTCTTATACCTACTTATCGAAGCACAATTTGGTATCACCTGATGATGTTGCGTCAACCAATCCATCATCATTCAAGGTCGGACCAATCATCAGCTGTGTAAACGGGCCAACTGATAGAATAACTTGGTTTTTAAGCCTAATACTTACCCAATTGTTTAATCACATTCCAGCCCACCTCACGAACACCCAAATGTTCCTAGAACGTCTACGTAACGCGTCTCCTAATAGCACGTACGTGATGGAGTCTTTCGACGATATCGCGCTCTACACCAACGTATCCAATGACTCCATGACTCCGCAATGCAAGCTATCCACGAACTTCTTGTTGAACATAAAGGAACAATAAACCTACATGGCTTGTTTATCCAGCAGCTTATAGCTCTTTTAAAGGAGTGCCTAAACTGCTCGATTTTCAGATGGTCTGGAAAATACTACGTGCTAATAAGGTGGCCGCAATGGGACATCAACTGCCACCAAGTCTTGTCACTGTGTTTATGTCTAGAGTGGAAGCCCCGTTTTCGGTCTCCGGCAGCTACTCTACTGCAGATATATAGATGACTGTTTTGTCGTCTTCTCTATTCAGGAGGAGATGGACAAATGCTTTCAATTATTGAACGAGCAGTCAGAGTACATTAAGTTCACCCGGGAAAAACCGAACGACAACTGGCTCACCTTTCTAAACGCTCAAATTAACTTATCAAGTAACGGTTATATGACAAAGTGGTGCCGAAAACCAAGTAACAAAAACATCCTGGTCCATCCCCTTTCTTCCCACCCTTCACATACAAAGAGCGCGCTTGTGAGAAACATGTTTCGAACAGCTACCTCTGTGTGAGCTACCAGGGAACTAAAGGAAGAATCGCGCGACTTGGCTCGGCAAATAGCCATCTCCAATGGCTACGAAATAGTAACCCCAGAAGGACAGCGACGCCCCAAAACCAAGGGTTTGGCCGAAACAAAGCCCCGTTTATCTTGCCCTTCATTAGCGATGAAATAAGTGTAACGATAAAGGAATGCTTAAGAAGGGCAGATCTAGAGAAATCGGTAGTGATAGTGAAATACCACCCGATACTCTACATTGCCAGTTAGTTCGTAACAGTCTGTACGATGGTCTATGTGAAACACTAAGTTGCGTAATTTGCCCTTACGGCAGAGACGGTGACTGCATGAGTTCAAGTACGATATACCTGATCTCTTGTAATAATTGCGGAGATGAATATATTGGCGAAACGGGCAGATCTTTATGTATCCGTATAAAAAACACTTAGATAGTAAACGAAAATCAAAACAAGGCACGCCACTAAGCACGCATAGGATACAAAAACATAGCGGAGACGATTTTGATATGAAGGTCGCTATCTTCGCACGGGATCCTAAAACACCAACGCGCAAACTTCAAGAGGCTTTTGGATATATGTCAAAAATCCTACAATGAATAGCAAGGAGGAATGACCTGAGAACACGCTTGATCTCGCTTCTGACCTTCACATCGATCGTTGATGGGGGGAGGTGCAGTCGTCAACCATATGTTACTCTGAGTAGCTGCTCTTCCTCGCTGGAAGACAGGTGGAAAAAGCGGTAGGTTTTTTCGAGAAGCCGTAGATCTCGTAAGTACTGTGCAGATTTTCATTTTCTGTTTGTGGCATTGAAGCGTTTGGCCTAGTAAATTGCGTATCAAATATTAGTATTAACAGGATGTTTTGCACACACTTACTTAACCTACGTGTTCCGTGAAGTGTACCGCTCATGAAACGCAACGTAAAGCTGAAAAATTATATTCTATTGTACTTGGCCGAGTGGATGAGATATTGAGGAGGGAAGGTTTAGAGGATTGCCTCATTTTATTTAATATTCAAAGCTGCATGTTTCTCTTGAAGTCTTAACCGTTGCGTGCATTGATGCACTCAAACTAGTAGATTGCGCGTAGGTAAGAGCAGAAGCTCGTGCTAGTGTTGCCGGAAAGATCCAAACGACCATAGCTACTAGAAGGTCAAAAAATTTTTTATTATCTAGTCCTTGTTGATTTCTTGCTTATTTATTATTTATTTATTACTAGCTATTTAGGAGTATACGCATATAATTCGACTGAAATCTCTGATAGAAGTATAATCGGCCTATGGGGAATCTCTGGAAAGGAGATCTGCAGAGAAAGCGCAGAAGGTAGTGTTACTCTCAAGCGAGGTCGAAAAAATAGAGCTTTGTTTTTTGCAGCGTAAAACAATATTGCTGTTTAAATTTACCGTTGAACTTATTTTTTGTATTATTGAAATATACTATGTGGTCGTCTTAAGAGCGAAAATTTTAAACCATAAACTCAAAAAATTTTGCTTGCCTTGTTCAAACCGCGGAAGCACTTTGAAAGCTGTAGAGGAAGTAGTGGACCTTCAAATGGGCAGAGGATCTAAAGGGCGAAATGATGCCAGTAAAACAGCAATATGTAAAGAATGTTGTTGGGACAGAGAGCTTCCTGGAATAATTTATTTTTTGTAGTATCCATTATTGTAGAAACGTTGATTCTGCTGCTATCGACGTCGCGAAGCAGTGATCGCTAGACGCTGCTGAAGATGATGAGCTTGGATACAAGCATGTGAGAAAGAAAGGATTAAGGATAAAGCTCTCGGCGTTGATCAATCCCTGAGGGATGCGCCATGCATTCGACTTCATTGAGTATCGTGTTGGAAGTGATTGAACGCATATCTGGACTTTACAATGACTCATGGTGGCCTACCGATGTATCGAGCCAGTTCTGCTGTCCTCCCAAGCAAGTTTGGTACCGATTTGCCAACCCCGGAGGATGGAAGGCTTGGTGGGCCGTGGGCGCAGAGATCAATTCCACGTGTGCAGTGGCGCCTCCAACCACTGTGCCACACGTGTCTTTTGGGAGAGAAAAGCCTGAATAAAAGCTTTCCTCACTTGTTCTTTCTTATTTCCAAACCTTATTAGCTCTGTGGTGACTTCGGGATATACTCATAGTTTACCTTTTTTATGAACACTGCAGAAGGTGGCGAAATAGGCATACCATTGTGCACCTAGGTGGGAAACCTACAGACAAACAGAGTACTCCACTCCACTAGCGACACATGAGACACAAAGGCGTAGCTAAGGAGATTTTGGAAAAAAAGTCACCCTTCTCGCAAAGGAATATAAACTCTATGGCGTAAAACTCTTAAAGCGTTCTGGAGAAATTCCGAAGAACCAAGGATTAACTACAACAAGAAGTGTCTTGTTATCAGGTGCGAGCTAGCCTCATTCTTCAGGTATAGTTTTTTTAACCTGAGCAGGACACATTCCTCAGCCACGTAGGGCTTTTTTAGTTGAGGCTAAAGTCTTTTCTTGTCAGAGTGATTCGATTGCCTAGCCAACCGAACGATTCACTTCTATGTCCAAACACTATAAATGTCATGCATACGACATAATGTAATGTGCATCCCACTTTCACTTATGATTGTCATATTGGTCAAATTACTTGCTGCATGCTTTGTGTAAGAGTGGAATGAGAGAACTTTTAGTTGGTTGTCTCTAATACTAAGACCTTTTAAGAATAAGTGTTTATAATGTACACAGTGATTTGAAATATACATATGGAGGTAGTCGAATGTGGCATTAAGAAGGATCCTTAAGTTTTAACAGCGACACGGATCCATTGCCTTGGGAAGTTTTATTTGATGAAAATCAGGAAGGAATTTGTAGATACTAGAGTTTCAGAGTCCTCTAAAAAATTTGAATTTGGGTTTAGTACATTTGTTTAGATTGTTAAGGTTACACAAGATTGTTATAAAACTTTTATTCGGCTAACGTTTCAACGTCTTCGCCTTCCTCAGAGACTGTGCACCATCGACTCCGATCATCGGCTCTGATGAAAACGCAGAAATCGAAACGTTAAGCGAATGAAAGCTTTATAATAACCTGGTGTAAGCTGAACAATCTAAGCAATTCTGTTGATTATTCACTGCGGGGTTAAGTGAAAGTCAGCATAGTTGATTAGTTCGCTATTTGACTTTAGTCTTTGATAAGCTAAGCCGACTAAGCTGTTTGTCCAAAGCAGCACAAAAGTGCATTCTAAACAAGCTACAGTAGCAGGTTATGGCATTTAATGAAGCAAAAATTCCAAACGGTTTGGACTAGCCGCACTGCAGAAATCCATTAGGAAAATGACGGTGAAGTAGCCTAAGATGAACCCAGACATGGTCCTTTGATTCAGAAGTGCAGGGAAAAAGAACATGCGAATAAAGCTGTTTAATTCTATAGGATTTATTAAACACGAAAATTATGCGGTATGGACGATCAAGATCACAGATGATTCAGAAACACTTGCGATGCACTACTGAGGCGCCGCATTCATCATACTCTGCCTTAGTGATCCACATCGTCTGAAACGACGGCAATGAAGCCAATAGCGAACCGCCAATCCAGACAGAGTATTTGCGCTCTGGAGGTGCTTTAATCTTCACTTTTACCACGCTGGAATTTGACTACTCTTCATAACACGACTTGCATTTGCAGGCTTTACTATTGTCGTATCGTCAAAACTGGTTACTAGGAGGAAAATCAATGTCTTCGAAATATTATCAATTACAGTGGAAGATTTCGACGGACCTGGGAGCAAGTGAAATCACTTCCTTCTTCAAACGCTCCGTAATTCCTGGGAACATCGTTGTGCCACCAGAAAGAATAATATTCGCAAAGAGATCCTTACGGATATCAATATCACAGCTCATGATGGAATTGTAGCATTCCTCGTGCACTCCTGAGGACGGCACTCCAAGTAAACTAGGCTGTAAATCTTCTATCACATTCAGTTTCTTAAACTATTTCTAGACAGTAAATAATGGAATGGTCTCCCGCCTTGAAGAGCATTTCTGGAGCACGAAATCTCTCGCTTCCAATGGTAATTTCCTCTCCAGCGCGTAGTTCGTATATTTTATCAGTTATTTTTGATTTTCGCCACTTTTCCATTTCTTGTTCAAAGTCAACAGCAACATAACCAAGCTTTTCCTAAACGCAATTCTGTTACAAATGAGGAAATAGGAAAATTTTTAGGAAGGGCTGAAGTGCAGCATTAGTTCCTCGACGACGTTTCCACCCTGAATGGGTTATGACACTTTATTGCTTAACTCGTTGTATTCTGTGACTTTTAACACCAAAACCTTCATTTTTTACCTGACAGATCAAACGAAATTTTTTGGAGAATATGACGATTTTTGTGGTTGAAAAGTAAGGGGTAAAGCTCTTGGTGTTTATCAATTTCTGAGGATGCTCCATCCATTCGATTTCATTAAACACCGTCAGAGGATGATTGAATGCTGCATTTCTAGCCATTACAATGACTCGCGGTGGCCTACCGATGTGCTACTATCCTTCCCGACAATTCTTGTAATAACGCGTGATTTCCGATGGCACTGATGGACAGAATTAGAGAGAGACGAAAGACAGCCGAAACGGAGAACCCGCATGGTGTGGTGGTGAAAGCGTTAACCTCCAGAAAGAGTAATAGCGCGTTCGTTCCTCACCGCAGACACCTGCCGTCGTAGCTTTGCCAATATCTCAGCGTTATTGTGGTTGTATTTCGCATTATACCCTTCTGTGAAAAATTATAGTAGGCAGCAAATGAAAAGTTAGCATTGTGAATTCTTGTAATAATTTACTGACCTCAGAGGGATGCAGGCCATGGTTAGTCTGGGGCTCGGAGAACGATCTCATGTGTATTGCAGGGTGCCTCTAACCACTGAGCTAGACGCAGTTCTTCTACAAATATCAAGGAAATTGAAAGGTTGATTGTATTAATAACATAGGGTGTGTTAGATGATCAAGACCGCTGTTGATTTACTAAAAGATAACCTATTTTAGTGGTAGTTATTCAAATCCATCACTCTACACTCAAAATTCCAAGCATGTCAGTTTTTTCGTTTCCCTTCTAGCTGGCTACCGCTTCAAATGTTGCTTTCAAAGATCTGCACTAGGAGTCCCTGAGCGTCGTTGAAACTCTTCGGACTGACCTATAGACGTGTATTGCCAAGATGGGCAGCATTTGCTTTCCTTTATTAAAGCTTAGTGTATATGAACGATGTAAGCGAAGATGCTTGTTTACCCCTCTTTCTCTTACACAACATAGAACACTGGAAAGATTAAGTTATCTACAGGAGGCAAGGGCGCGTGTGGCGCACTGGTTGGAGGCGCCACTGCGACACACACGTGGAATCGATTCCCGCGCCCCTGGGCCACAAAGCCTTCCATCCCTCCGGGGTCAGCAAATTGGTACCGGACTTGTCTGCGAGAAGAGCAGCACTGGCTCGATACATTGGTAGGCCACCGCGAGTCATTGTAAAGGCCAGATATACATTCAATCACCTCCAATGATACTTAATCAAGTCGAGTGCATGGCGCATCCCTCAGGAATTGATCAACGCCGAGAGCTTTATCCTTTTTTTATCCTTTATAGTGGGACAATAGGAAACAGATGTGAAACGAAACATCTAGAATTACTTATGTCACAAACAATATCGCACCATTAGTTTCAATTTCTTTCCATTAAGGTATTGACATCTATCTGAAATTCATTTCACCACAAAAACGCCTTGTAGGTCGAAGTTTCACAAATCAAAAAGTGGATGCTGGTATAAGGTGGAACAGAGCCCAGATATAAAAGCTGTAGAGTTTAATAAGTTAAGAATGAAAACTTGCCTTGATATCTCGCACGATTTCACGTTCACCAGTGATGGCGAACAAATAGCGGCGTTCAGTCAACAGCCTTGCAAGGTGGTTAGTCAGATCTCGGCCAGCAAGTTCCAATCGATGGACAGTTTTGGGCAGTGAATAGCCCTAAAAAATTTTGTTGATTTCAATACGGAGAGAGAGAACAAATTTAACAATTTTTTTCATGACTAAAGATTTGTCTAGGAGGTTAGAATCAAAGATATGTTGGTTTAATCATGCGGATAATTATTGTTTATTATTACCTAGGTTTAAAGAAAGTCGATTTTTAAGAACAGCTTTATGCATATTAATATTGAAGAGGCAGTAAATACTATGAATGTGTAAAAACCGCTGTTATCAGACTGACCAGTTTGCTGCAATTTATACGTCAGGATAGCAAATTCACTAAGTTAAAATGACTCAGGGGCCGGGATAGCTCAGTGGTAAAAGTTTCCTTCTAGTTCAATGCCGTGTTTGGATCGACTCCATCCCGCCTGATCACCATGTCGTCCATCTTTACGTCGTTAGAAATTGCAGCAGATTTGCCTGGGAGGACAGCATTACCAAGTTAAGAAATCAGTACGCCACTATCGTATAACCATCTAGGCCAGATATTCATTCAATTGCTTTTACGATGCTCAGTGAAATCGAATGCATGACCCATCTCTCAGGAATCGATCAACATCGAGAGCTTTATCTTTCTAAGTCAACACAATCTCAATGTTATCCGTTCTTCCGAATATGCGTGGTACAAAAGCACGAGTGGCAAAGTGAAGCCGTTGCCGCTACAGTCCGTGTTACAAGACAGTTGGGATTTCTTTTATGTTTACAATGGTGGAGCAGAGTTAAACCCTGAGCGGCGAGGTTAATCGCGAAACAGTCCAAGCAAAGCGCATAACTCTTCAGTAGAACATGAATATCTTATCAAATTATGCTAGCGGATCGGTCTACGTTGTGATAGTAACATCCGTCAAAAACATCTCTCAAAACATTACCTTTCCTATAATAATGAATATAACATGCAGAATTCGCGAACAAAATTCTTATGTTCTAAATCGCATTTTTGTCAAGTTTGAATAAGTTTACTACATTTCCTTTCGTTCACCTCATAAATGGGCACAGCATGAGTGACTCCATCACCGGAATCGACCACAATGCCTGTCGTTCTCCCAGATGCGAACAACGAGAGCACAGCTTGGACCGCAGCGTACATAGCCGGTGTGTGGAACGTCTCGAACATCAGTTCCGTCATCCGTTCGCGGTTCGCCTTCGGATTCAGTGGCTGTTCAGTGAGCAGCACCGGATGTTGGCTGACACAGACGCGCAACTCATTCGCAAACACGTGCTGCCACACCTTCTCCATATCTTCCCAGTTCTTCACAATGCCGCGTTGGATGGGGTTCTCCAGTGTAAGAACGGCTGCAAAGAAAAGAAAATCTACTTTGGAAAAACGCAACAAAATCCAACCAGAGAATGTCGTTAGAATGAAAAGTGCTTGCTCCCAAAACTCAAACCTCATGAGAAACAATGGATCAAACATGATGGCTATGTATCTCTTTATCTCACCAGTGAGGTTTATAGTTCGGAGTAAGGTAGAAGAACTTTCAAGGATTTTTACGATAAAGAACGTCGTTATAGAAATAAACAGCTTTGACATTAACTACGTATTTGATTAAACACAGGTTTTGTTTTAATTAAGTAGGCCAAAGTGTGCGTGGTGCAACTTCTTCACGATCATGAACGCTTTATTGCACACTCGATGTCACTGCTTTTCCCATTCATTTTTATGGACTTTCGTTTTTTCCTTAGAGTATTACGTGCGTTCACTTGGATGCAGTTCCTTCAATGGACTATTGACCCATTTGTGGAATTCTTCAAAGAAGCAACACGACTATAGAGCATTCGCTAGTGATTGAAATACCCTCGAACACTGAAATGTGAGCTATGTCGGGAACCGCTTATATGACTTTTTGTTCATAGCGCAAAATTGCACAATTTGTCTTAACAGTAGAGATGGCGAGCGAGCGAGGGAGCGAATAGATTGGCAAAACGTGTAGACCAATCTGTGTCCTTATAAAGGAGCATCTAGTCGGTAAACTTAAAGTTGGACTAAAGACTGCATCAGGTGTACACGGGGCAAAACGGAAAAGATTTTAAGCAAAAGTCACTATCCTCGCACAGGTGCCCAATACATTTGAACGTAGAACTTTTGAGGCGTTCTGGACTATTTCCAAAATTCCAAAAACGAATTTCAGCGAGGAGTTCCCTGTGATCATGCGTGCCCTCGTGATATTCCTCACACAGATTTAGGCCTTAAGTCACGCACACTCCTCAACTGTGTGAACTCTGTGCGGCTGGTCTCCACCAAGTAACTAGTAGACCTATATAGAGCAAAACGGTCTGTGTTTGAAAGAAGCTGTTTTACTTGTGAACAAAACATATGTATTAAGTTTCAACCGCGGCAGGTTTAAAACGTTCACTTTCTACTTTAATATACCGCCGATTGTTTTATTATCGGCATAGTACAAGAGGAGATGGTTATTTTTTTTGTTTTTCATTTTTTATTTTGATCCTTCTTCATGTCTACTGTGGTGGTCCTAGCACTTTTCACATTCGATTCGTTTTTTCACATCCATTATCCACAAATATCTTCCAACTTCTATGTGTGGCTTCGGTTGTTGCCTGTGGATTTTCATTTCATCTTTAATGTCGTGAATGCTGGTCGACAAATTCTCTCTGGAGTCCTGAGATAGCTGGGTTGGAGCGTTCCCAATTGGACTTCAGAGAGCGGTTTCATCCCAGAGAAGTCCGGTACCAATTTGCTGTTCCCAGAGAGATGAGAGGTTTAGTTGGCCCGAAGAGGAATTGAACTAGCAAAGCAGATGGATAAATGTTGTGAATTGCTAAACCAATAGTCATAGCACAGATATTATATTTCACCCGGGAAAAATCGAAGAAAGGCCGAACCCTACATTTGAACGTTAATATTAATTTACTACATTTTTAGCAGGCAAGTACGAGGTTGTAATTACATCATTTGTTCACAACAAATAAAGTTTCGGCGGTTTCACCTCGTTTAGAGGTTCGAAAGGTCAAAATGACATGCAGTCCACTTATGCAAACACTTTTATAAGCTTTACAGGCAAACTATAAAACTTAAATTTTTATTCACATAATGAACCATTCAAAAAGCTACTATGAATAGATGGTGTAATAACAACCTCGTTTCTGCTCTTCGAGAAAATAGTGAGTTATTGAACAATGCTGAGGTTAACAAAACGTCGGTCCTGGGAAGGCGCATGTGGCGCAGTGGTCGGAGGCACTCTGCAACACACACGTGGAATCGATCCCCGCGCCCATGGCCCACCAAGCCTTCCATCCTTCTGGGGTCTGCTAATTGGTACCAGAGTTGCCTGGAAGGATAGCAGCACTGGCTCGTTAAATCGATAGGTCACCGCGAGTCATTCTAAAGGCCAGATATACATTCAGTCACTTCCAAACGATGCTTAACGAAGTCGAATGCATAGCTCATCCCTCAGGGATTGATCAATACCGAGAACTTTATCCCTTATCCTTATTCTAGAAACGGTATCGCTCACTTCTTTTCGACTGTGCCTCAGTGCCGACGTATGAATCTCGCCCATTCATGGAGGTGGTGGTTCCGTCACGTCGTCGGTGACCGACAATGGACGGGAAGACGGCTTTTGGCGCATCATCGCCAGCGAAGCCTGCTTTGCACACTCCTGAACCGTTGTCGATCACCAGAGCAGTGTTCTTGCAGCCTGACATCGTTGGCAAGAGGCCAGATTGCTATAACATGGCAGATTAGTATTTCATCGCTTTCACAGCAGCTTTCAATATGCTTCTTGAGAAAAGTGCTAGGGTACACGAAGTGTGAGTCTTTTTTTTCAACCACGACTTGTTTACATTACGACAACTTTATCATGTCTAGATCTAGGAAGATGGAGTGCTTCTTAGAATCAGAAGTCGTCAACCTATATAGATTATGAAGAGTTGATTGAAAAAGGTGAAGGACCAATAAAACTCTACAATTTAAATGTTTATGGACAGATAGTCGCTTACCTGAATGAAAAAAGTTCGTGTTAGATAACACTTTTAGTAGATAGCAGACACTCCCTTTCGATTAAGAGGAGCTATGAGGATAGTCCGAAAGAGGTGAAACAAGGGCAAACCACACTTGCAATTTTTTAATTGTCAGCTATTTGATAATACTTTGTTGCATCCCTCCACGTTCTCACGTGTTATCACCTGTTTATTAGCGCTTAAGATCCGAAACTTGTCCCACTTAACGAGTAAAGTAGCTAAGTGAACAGGGGATTTTGGGGCAGACAACAAAACTACTTACACTTTAGCCTGACGAGCAGTGTATGGGTTTTAAGACCTGGTAACTCAAACCATTTTTCGCTTTTTGAAGTGAAACACACCACTCCTATTTGATCATGTTCAACTTTAAGTGACATCTTTATGCTGCAAGGTCACTCGCATTTGCGAAACGATAGAAACATGGTTAAAAAACCGATTTTAAAATGGCCTCGGTTGTGAGTTCATCAGCATTCATGAGTTGTAAAAGCAAATAACTAGAAAAGTGTTCAAGAAAATCAGCAATAGCTTAAAGAGTTTGTTGTTATAGCAATAAACGAAAACAAGATTATTGATGAGATTGTTTTTTCAATAACCAGGTGCAAGCCGTGGTGGTGGACAATGATCACAAGAACCGTCCAGTCCGATTGGTCCAGCGGGGCCTGGCATCCCGATCGGACCAGTTTTTCCAGAAGGCCCTGGACGGCCGCGATCTGCAGTTGGAATAGTGTTTAGTAACGAGATTGCTATTTTTCATTAAATTATGTTTTATACTAATTTGCATGTGAATTTTAATCACCGGCGTTACCTGCCATTCATCATACCCTTCATTACCATTTACATACTCTTTGTGGAAATGAATTTACACTGTAGAACGACTAATGAAGACGACTTGATCGAAAAATGACCACTCAGATTTTTTTAGTCTTTCAGCCACGAATTCTCCAGTACCGGTGATGAAAAAATTTATAGAATCGAGATCATGGCTTAAGAAATTTTAGAAGCCTATTTGCATAACCTTTAAAAGGCATGTTTTCACTATTGTTCACTTTTCAACTTTTGTTTTTTTTCAACTTTTTTTCAACTTTGTTTTCACTTTTCAAACCTCCTGGAATTCCTGGCGGACCTCTCGCTCCTGGTTGTCCGGGTTTTCCCTTTCTACCTTTTGGACCAGCCACTCCACGATCACCTGGTGGTCCATTAGGCCCAGCTGGACCTACGAGCTAAAATTATCGAGGAGAGAAATTTGCGATAATTCCTTTCTTCATCGTAAAATTTAAAATGTTCTGCTTTAATTTTGGTACATAAAAGAAATTAGGGGCGCCTACATAATAGTTAGAGATTGTGCAATAGACGCATTTTCGCAATTTCCATCCCGACCGAGCAAACCAAATCTCATCGGTTCCCAGGATCAACTTTCTATTAGCCTCGGTACTGGATTATAACTACGTCGCTTTTTTTTCAGGAATCGCGAGGTTATTATTCAGAATACGTTTACCTCCGTACAAACAACGTATACAGCACAACAGTGACTGACGTTTCGGCAGCACCGCTTTCCTCAGAGTCTTGAAGGTACATTGAAATGCACTTTACTAGGTCAAAGGCTTCAATAACACATGCAGAAAGATAAGAACCTACTTGGAAAATCTACGCTAAAATTCTGAAAAAGCAGTGGGTTTTTTTTTTCGAAAAGCTGTTGATCATGTGATTGGGACATAGATTTTCATCCCTCTGTACGTTTTACTGATGCGTTTGGCATAGTAAATCGCATATCAGCATGTCCCTCCAGGCTCTTAAGAAGGCGATACTGCCGAAACATCAGGTACTGTTGTGTTGCATGTGTTTTTCTACAGAAGTAAGCATGTGCTGCCTAACGACCTCGCGATTGGTGAAAACGAAAACGACAGGTCGTTACTCCAGCGTCAAAAAATTCGTGCCAGATTTGTATGGGAATGCTGGAAAGCCTCAGGTTGCAGCAGAACCCACTCTAAATCCGAACTCATAGGTAGATGATTAATGTTGGACAAGGAATATAATGAAGAGAGTTCACATAGAAACAGTACTCAAAGAAGGTTTTAGAAAAATAAAACGAAGAAATTAACGGATAACACACAACAGTCAGTGTTCCAGGTTCGCCTTTTGCACCTCTTTTTCCCGGCTTTCCAGGACGCCCAGCCGAGCCTTGTGGACCAGCTAAACCTTGCTTTCCCTTTTTGCCATTCTGAATGAACACCATAATTTGATATCCAAAGATCACTCGTAACACTACGAAAGACATCATAGGAGTGACCACTTAGTTAAAGCTGTAAAACTCACAGTTCCATCTAGTCCAGGCTCACCACGCAGACCTGGTTGTCCTTTTGGACCTATTGCTCCAGGTCGACCAGGCCGTCCCCGTGGGCAAATCACGCAGACCTCTGGTAGTGGTTCAGTCAACGGTAGCACGACACCATTCCGCCCTGGAACACCGTTTCGGCCAGGCTCTCCATCACGACCGTCTTCGGCCTGAGCACCAGGGGGTCCAGGTGAACCAGGTGGTCCCTGTTGGCATGTGCAACCTGAAAAATTTTCATTATAGAGGATTTTTTCATTGATATCAATCTAGTTTTATCATGAATCCAACTTTCTAAAGGTTTTTTTGCAAGTCTTTGCATAGGTACAGTGCTTAAAGTGGTGTGTGTAAAAAAAACTAGCAATATATCCTTTGAATTTATTTCCAAATAAATATTAAAATAAATAAGGTACTTTCCACACTTACAAGTTGTCAATTCGTTGTTGGCTGACAACACGGGATCCTCTTCATATTCGATAGCTGGCTGTTTACCTTCAGCATATTCTTAAGAAACAACATGGGTAATATTATAATTACATTATAAGTTTTTCACACATCTCTTCGGTTTTTCTTTGACAAAATGTAGGTTGTCAACCTCATGTTGTCTTTATTTTTTGTGAATTCGAAGTAGTGCTAGCAAACATTGAGTTTATCTTCGCAACGCGACACTCGTCCGCATCCTACATACAGAACGGAACGAGTTTTGCGTCTAATCGACTTTTATTTAAACCTCGACCGTAGCCTAGACTTCAGCTCACCGTGTTCTCGTTTTCCTACCCATTGCCCGAACGACCATTCTCTTCGCATTCTTGTTGCCTTAGACTGAGTTTGCTCTTTGACTCGATTGACATTCAATAAATCCTGCGCCGCGAGCACGTCTACCCACAAGTCGCGAGTTTTCGCCTGCAATGATTACGATTCTTATTCACGATTATTCTGTTGCTTCACAATTGTTATATTGCTTTTATTGTCATTGTTATTTAAGTAGAGCAGGGCATGCAGAGCGTAGTGCTTAGGGGTATAATGTAACACACATTTGCTCCCCAGCTCGATTGCGCTTCCGAACAAACGGAGCACCTTATCCTACCGGTACGATTTTTTCAGGAGATGAAAACACTGGCTTGCTAGTTTATATAACGGTACGAATGGAATCAAATTTATGGTACATCTCTAAGGAATACATAAACTCCGAACGCTTTCTCTTCTTCATATTAACGACGTCCTACACGCCGGCGATACCTCTTTTTAAGAAAAAAGCTTTAGCGTTAAGAAAAATGGGCGCTGTGCTAAATCTATGGCTAATCTGGTAAATGACGTCAAAAACTTTTTTTGAGTGAATAGCACTCGAACCCGACAAAAGTCGACTTCACTGGATATGTGTGTCTGCATCACTTGAATATAACTGTAGACCATCGGCAATGTAATGACCGATGACAGCACAGCTGTTGTGGAAACGAGAACCTGGAAAAATCGAAACGTTATTAGGCAACCGGTGTCTATTTGAAACATTGAAAAATAGCAATGGCCCTTTCCTTAATAAGGCTTCAACTATTCAGATATGAAGCGCATCCCTCTCCAAAACCAGGGTAAAGAAATGACAATGAAAATAGATGAACGATAATATCACGGACGAAAAGTAGTCACGCAGTAAATCCACTACAGATGTTCCATAATCGAAGAGCTTCTTGCCGAAAAAAACCTGTCTGGACGGCGGTTTTTTTTTCGTCATTCTTCGATTAGAAATGATTTATTTTCTCAGACTGCCTTTACCATTTCCCTAGTTCTCTAGGCAATTTCCACTGCATGTGACGTCATTAATTTTAAAGATGTCCCATATTTTTACTATTTAGTAAGCTGTCATCTTGCTCACCGCTATGAACGTGGTTCGCCGCAGGCGTATGGATTCGTCTGATTCTTTTATGAGATCGTTAGTCATTGCGACAACTTTCAACTAAAATTGCACCTTAGCACGTAACTTTCTCGTTACTGTTTTAACGAAAGAAAACGGAATAAAAGAACAGTCTGGACGTCGAAACACGGAAACCAACAAAAAATATAAAAAGGGTATATAATGCTGAGATATTTGCAAAACTCCGTATCGCAGGTGTATGCGGTGGGGAACTAACGTGCGCTATTGTCCTTTCCGGGGAGTAGCGCGTTAAGAATAGGCAGTAAATAAAAGGTTAAGATTGTGATTATAACTATAGCCTCAGTTTGCTGAGGTTTGAATTTATTTTTTTTTCAGTAAGCTGAGGCTTAACTGGGTTCAGTGCCGATTTGGGCTCGCCAGATCAATCCAGTTGACGGGTGATTGCTGATGGCAAAAGATCAATAGAACTAGCCGAGAGACACGCAAAACTAGGGACCCGGATGGTGCGGTGGTGAAGTGCGCTACTCCCAGGAAAGGACAACACCGCGCGTTCGTTCCCCACCGCATACACCTGCGGTCCGGAGTTTTGCAAATATCTCAGCATTATATGCGAGTTATATTTCGCAACATACCCTGTCATTGAAAAAAAAAGGCAGTAAATAAAAGGGTTAAGATTGTAAAAACGGTTTTCTTCACAGAAAAATTACATCTGAGGACTTCATAGAATGTCTGAAGCTGCCAAGTTTTTCATGGAAACGCAACATGCAACTAAGAGCAAAGGTTTATGATTGTCCAGAAACTTTAAAATATTAATGCTAAGTGAAATGGAAGTTTCCTTATGAGTTGAATGTTTTTCGAAGAAACTAATAGCCTTGAAATCAGTGTCGTTGTTGTTTTAAAGAGATCGCCACGATGAGGTGGTGGACTTGATATGAAAATGTTCTACATTCTCCATTCATTTCTTTAAAATGTGAAATCAGTGGAAAAGAATAGGATCCTAGAAAAACAAAGCACGCTTCAGTTTAATATCTAATAAAAAATTTTGTTCATCAATTTTCCACCCAAACCAGATATTCTCCCGTGAGAAACTTATTTCTCAGAAGTTTCCTCGCTTCACCGCTTAGATTCTATAATCTCTGACAATGAGTTATTACCAAAATTGACCATCACTTACTTCATTGAAATAAAGCGACGATAAACTTTTGCTTAACAAATCAATGCCTAACATTTACTTGATACTCGATACTTGAACAGTCCGTCATCGCTAGTTGTGCGGATTCCAGCATAATCACCTTTTTTCGGAGATTTGCTGGTTAAGCTTTTGTGGTTTCCTGGAATCTCGAGGACAGGCTGGCCAAAGTCTGCTCCAGTTCGTCACCTCGACAGACAGTCGCGGCCCTTGTGGATCAGAGGGAGATTTGCCAGAATGCGACTTTGATACCAGGACGGTAATGGATTTGGATTGGTTTACTCTTAGCTAGGCTTCTTGATGGAGGCGCTGGACTCCTTTTCAGCTTGGGAGACCCTTCCGGGGGGACGAATCTCTCCACTGTACATCGCAGTCCGACGCCCAGGAACACCTCCCAGCCACGATGAAACGGTAAAGCGCTGGGATGGCCTAACATTTATTGTTTATATTTACAGTATTGTGCTTGTAAGATTTTTGTAACTAAAGGAAGCACGAGGACACTTATCAGAGATTAAAACATTAATAACACGAGAAAAATGATCCTGAAAAGTTGCTAAAAAGTAGGAAACGCTCTCCGGAATTTTTGTCTACACATCTACAGAACATAAACATACACATATATCTTAACGTTTTTATTTACTGCCTATTCTTTTTAAAGGCATGGTATGTTGCGAAATATAACCTCTGTAATGCCGAGATATTTGCAAAACTCTGGACCGCAGGTGTCTGCAGTGGGGAACAAGCGCGCTATTGTCCTTTTCGAGAAGTAACGCGTTAAGAATAGGCAGTAAATAAAAAGGTTAAGATTGTGATTATAACTATAGCCTCAGCTTAACAGGGTTCAATGCCGATTTAAGTTCCCCAGATCAATCCTGTTGACGGGCGATTGCTGATGGAAAGTGATCGACAGAACTAGCCAAGAGACAGGCGAAACGAAGGACCCGAATGGTGTGGTGGTAAACGAGTTACTCTCGGGAAGGACGATAGTGCGTTCGTTCCCCACCGCAGACACCTGCGGTCCGGAGTTTTGCAAATATCTCGGCTTTATAGAAGTCGTACACATATACTTACGCACACGAATACACACACGTATGTGTCTAAAAGCTTATTTTTGCTAAGCCTTGCAGAGTTTCTGGAAGAAAATGGATGTGAGAAGTGTAAGATGAGGGGCATCACCTTTGATTCATGCAAGAGTTTATATATGGGCATTTAGCGCGGAGATGGGCGCGCCCAGATATATGCATCGTTTGTGATCGTATTTATTTCATGCATCGCCGACGATTGTTGTTGAATACATGAATTACAATGAAGAATTGGAATTTTTCGAGCCTAGGAGGAAAAAGTAGGACAACTGCCGTTACGATCACAATCGCATCGGCGATCGTTTGCATTCGATTTTCGACATCCTTTGCGTAAGAGGAAAACGTTGTTTTTTTTTGGAGTCCTCGAAATAAAGATGACAAGCAGGGACAGGTTTTAGGATTTTGCTGGTCAGAAAGAGTTTCCGTTTGTTGTTTTTACCTTATTTTGCACGACCTGTCTTTGCATCTACTGTGCTCAGCCAAGTACTTCTTGCATTCGATTCGCTTCCCTTGAACTCTTAATTCACAAAGGTCGTCGCACATTTCCTATGGCTTTTTTCTTTGCTGCGTCTTGAGGACTACTGAACAGCATGAGAAGGCTGTCGAACTATCAATATTCGGGTAATTTTTCCGACTGATATGGAGTAATAATAACTCATAAAAAGCGTTTGACTTTTCATTCCGGATCCGTTGCGATTGCGTCATGCACTCAACTCTATTCCAAGCATCTCGAAGGTATTTAAGTACCTATTTAGGCTGTGCAATTACTTATGATAGCTCTTATAGTTTGGTGCTCCATATCCTCTACGTCTGGTAGCAATCTATCAATTATGACGAGATGGAGGATTGGTCAACTCTAATCGCTATGTCGAACTAACCGGCTCGTGTAGGTAAAGGAAATTCTGTGCTACTTACTGATGCTACTCTGGAACCGCTTATATCCCTTCACGTTAAACTGGAAGCTATCTGGTTCATCCTAATAGCAGAGATCGGGATTACATGACCTCAGGTGCAATATACTTGATCTCTTGTAAGATATTCGATGACCAACACATTGGCGAAACTACTAGACCACTTTTATCCTCGTAAAAGAACGTCTAGGCGAGGAACTTAAACATAGTTCTTCTCCGGGTACACAAGAGGTGAAAAAAACACAACGAAGTAGCTGTGGCTATCGTTGAGCAGGCATCAGAAACATCAACACCAGAACTTTGAAAGCGTTTGGACAAATTTCAGAAGTCTAAAAATGATTTGAAGAGACGAATACCTCCCTATGACAGATGACTTGATGGTCCTTTTCACATATATTTCTTTGATCGCGGTGAAGATCACTCGTCATTTCCAACAGCACATGGGTGATCTCGCTACTAGGAAAACGGAAACAACAAGTAGTTAAAAGAAATAAACGAAACACCCGCATTGTGTGGTGGTGAACGCGTTACTCCCCAGAAAGGGTAATAGAGTGTTCGTTCCCTATCGCAGACACCTGCTGTTCGGAGTTTTGCAAATATCTCAGCGTCGTTTAAGTTATAGTGCGCAACATACCATACCATTAAAAAGAGTGGGTAGTAAATAATAAGTTAAAATTGTGACAATGAGCAGTTTTCAACAGATTGCCATTCACTGCACATCAAATTTTCACCAATATTACTTACTAATATTATAGGAATTCACCAAATTATAGAGAGATAGAGTGACTGCTTACGTCACCGATATAGAGAAAATATGGCAATGAAAATGACAAATAAGGGCTCTCGGCTGATTTGAT